CCCACCAACAAAAAATTGTTAAGTCTGCTTTCAGGGGCTTGTGTCCTGGAAATGATTTTTCTTCATTGCAATGTGGGTTCTCTTGGGCATTTTTTTTCCAAAAAGGACCAATTTCCATCACTTTTAAGGAATAAACCCCTCAATGCTACATAGGTTTAAATTCTTTAACCCTTTTGACTGTTTGGGTCGATAATTCTTACGACCCCCTGTTTTGACGTATATATACCATAAATTTCTAGTGTTTCAACAAGAGGAAAGCTGGTAGGCCACATGTGAGAGAATGGGTCTGTGTGGTCAGTGTCCCCCATATAAAAAAAAATCCTGCAGCCACAGGCTAATGAAAAAAAAAAACCCCGACCATTTTTTTAATTAAAATGGAAAACATATTATAAATGGAAAACTTTATAGAAATGAGGTGTTTTTGACTGGTTTTACTATGAAAAGAACCTTAAAATGGAGCTCAAAGTGGGAAAATTTTTTTGTTTTTTGCCGTGTTCAAAAAGTAAAAAATATCATTTTCCAAAAATGCCCAAAGAAACCATTCTAATATCAGTCAGAATGGGTTTACACTTTTTAAATAAAATTTATACAATATTGCTAGTAGCTAACAGTAAATCTTCTTTTTTTTTTGTTTGAAAAAAAACAAAATAGAAAGCAAGAGTAATACAGAGGGGCCTGGGACGTGATGATGAACAAAAAAATTTTAATTTAGACCCAGGAATGTCTGCTTTGTTCATTGGCCCCTATTTAAAATTTGTCATATTTTTTAATTTCGTGAAATTGGCAAAATTGCAAATTTCTGACCACTTTTTGGGGTATTAATTTTGGGAAATGGGCATTTTTTTTTTAAAACCGTGAAAAAAAAGGGATTTCAAAAAAAACTAGAGTTTGGTGACTGGAACAAGGGAATTTAGCCAAAAATAGGCTCAAAGTGGGCAAAATTCCCGTTTCTAAATTTGCCGAGGTCCCTAACTTCGCAAAGAAATTCCGTCAGTTTTCCATAAAATTTTTGTTCTTTTGGGGGTCATTCAATCGGGGAAAAGGTTCTTACATTTTTAAAAATTTTTTTTTTTTTTTCAGAAATTTTGGACATCAGGAGACAAAACCCAGGATTGGGGGGTTCAACTGTCAAGGGGGTTAAACTTTCAGTTTTCATCTCCATTACATGGCAGCCTCCTATGCCTTACTACACAGAATCCCACTTCTTTTTAAAAATCAAACCCGCCTTTATTGCCTTAAATTTATCACTTTCAGCCGTTTCCCGGGATGTCTCGCCTAAGGTCCTATATAAAGGGTTTGTTTTTTCACAAATCATTTTTTCAAAATGCGGTCACCACCCAACTGTGTTTCGTTAAAACACACACCAAAAAATTTTTCCCATTTCTTCAATTAACATGACCTTTGCACAGCTAAATTTTTATCCTTTTCCCACATCCGCCCAGAGTTTTATCCGAGACTCAAAAATTTGGGTTTCTTCAAATCTCTGATTTTTCAAAAATTGAAAAAGCAAAAAAATGAATGCCATGAACTCTGTCCCCAGAACCAGACTCGTGAACCTGAGTTTATTAAGAAAGCAAAAAGCCCCTTTCAGTGCCCTTAACATTAATGGAGAGGGGGCATGGGCACAGGATCATCCCACACCAAAAAAAAGACATAGCCCCACTCACAAAGTGGCATAAAGCAAATT